CTTCCTTACTTGCAATACATAAGCACTAATTAGAGGGTTATTGAGGAAAAACTCTCAACTAATGGCTTATTACTTGTAGAATATGGTCATGTAGAATAAGGCATTAATAAGTGTTTTATAATGACTAATAAAGAGCCAATATACTGCTAATATGCATGTTAATTAACAACTAGTTGATGGTTAATTTGTGTACCTTAATATAAAGTGTTACCAAAGATACATATTTACATGATGTAGCTTGATGTTGCTTTGAGTATTAGATGGCAGAAAATGAAGTTATTTGTTTTTGAGCCCTTGATTCACTCTCCATGCCTCCTGTTGATTTCTGACGTGACAACTATGTGTACAGCTCTTACACTTTAAACCTGATGCAGCATATTTAAATTATATAGTCAAGAACTGGAGTGATGTGTGACACTGTTTCATAATGAAGCTCACGTGGAAAATGAAAATAAGAAAATGAAAACAAATCGAAGTGAAATTCATTTTTGTGATTAATTATCCGGAATAAAAAACAAAAGACCAATCATGATTCTATCAGCTGCAATACATCAGTGATGTTAAACAGACTTCAGCAAATTAGAACCATGCATATATAATTCAAAGTGGTAACGGTTTGTTGGAATTATAATGCGTTTCACATGCAAGTAAACATCATATTGATAAATGATGAGGAAGAGATCATGACAAAAAAACACAATGGTGTCCTTGCTAAGATTTTATGGCTCAACAATTGTGGATATACCAAATATAAGATCTGCAGGATTAGTTGTTGTAGCGCGCTGACTTATTATTATCTCTCCATAATCTGAGCTGCTTTCCTTTTAAATTCTGTAAACACAATCAACTGATGAAGGCTCACGTTTTTCTTCTTTTCCTATATTTATGTTTTCTTTTAGACAACAACTGCCCCTAAGCAGAACAGTGTTTTTATTTACCTTTGATTAGATGGCAGTTGAAGCACAAGGCTTATTATTTCTGCTGACAACCAACAATTTTGTGGTGACAAATCTGGAACATTGTGCAATGTTATTTCTTCATAACTTGTCATAAACAACCCGTTCTGTAATATCTGAAGCAAAACAAACTATTTATTTTTTAAAAGTGAAAAACATATTCTCACATTAAACTCACACACTGTCACATCTCTAGCAAGGCGCTGAAATAGGGCATAATGTGATGATGACGGTTTTCTTTATTCAGTGCACCGGAGATGAACCTATTCGAAAGTCATTTATTTTCCCAGAATAACGGCTGTTATTACTCTTCATCACCCAGGTGTCAAGCTCAAGGTTGTTGCTTTGTCTCACACTGTGAAGCCAGGTGGACAACAAGGATATATTAAACCATACAGGAACAGTGCGATTTCACTGTGCGGTGAAAGTGATAAAAGACAGAGCTTTGTATGTCTTTTAGTTCAAGTCCAACTTAAGTGTTGGGCGTTCGGCACATGACATATCAGTTAAGTCTTCGCAACCCTATTCATTTGCCTGGAAATAAAAATACAAGCATGCCAAATAAGAGAAAAGAGTTTGCGCAGATGTCCACCAACGCTGTTAGGCCCAGTGCCAAACTGGACCCTCCCCACTCCCCCTCCCTGATGGAGTGAACTCCGTCTGTAGTCACACTCACAGCTGAATGAGGCTCCCTTCTTTCAGATGGGGGGTGTACATACAGCGGCAAGCTTTGGAACTCCCTTCTCTCTGGTAGAAACAGGTAATGCAGGCTGCTAACCCTTACCCTTTATTGTTGTTTTATTTTTAAATTGCACTGTTGAGGTACCTGGGAAGTATTTAATACATTACATAACTACACCATAGTTATATGTCATGACAATAAACCTTTGAATCTTTGAATCTTGTGTGACGGTATTTTATGTACAGTTGTACGCAGTTTACTAGTTATGTTTGCAGGAACTGTTTGTACACAGCGTGTTTGATGACAGACACAAACAGCGTTGAGTCGGACAGGAAGTGGTGGTGATAACACACTCCCCCTCGCTCCACACTTGTTGGATTGGAACAGCACTTAATGACCCTTGAATCAGTGTGTAGGGTGTAGGGGGCGGTCTGGAATTGGGCCTTTCTATCAGTGAAAATAGTGTGTGCACTGTGATTCAGATCTGCTCCAACATTTAATGGGCTCTTCCTTGGATAATGCTGCATCCCCTGCCCCCCCACCAATTTACATGAGGATCGAGCCAGGACTTTTTAAGACCAGACCACCCTACTTAATTACAATACTTGAGTTAATATACTGAGTTACTTTCAACCGTTGAGTATGACTTCATAAGCCTGTGAAGTTATTGTAATTTTGTAAATGTTTAAGTCACTCACTGATGCTAACAGTAATGGAAACATGTGTGGAAACCGGATTAGAACTAGGCCAATGGCACTACTTTAGTCTTCCTTCAACTTCATATTGTGCTAAATATAAACTGGGTGTATGGCTATTACTCCAATTTGTGAGTCCAACGCTTTACTGCAAACTATGCAAATCAGTTCTGATTAATCGCCTTGTCACTAATCCTCTCAGTTCATCCATTTCAGAGTGGAGGGTCCAATTTGCATATCCCCTTTTGCATCTCTTCTCTTTCTTGTAGAAAGCTGGTAATTATAGATGGAGCTTGACCCGCTGCTCTATTAGTGAATGAATGTGACGTGAGGCGCACAAAAGAACCCCCTGACCCCCGCTCTCATCAAAGTGTATCTACAGTATTCAGTATTAGTTTGTGAAGCTCTACTATTAAAATCTTTCTCAGCTTGGTTTGTCTTAATCATTAAGTGTTCTTTCCTGACAATTACAAGGAAATATCTCAAACCGGACACCCCAACTATAAACAACTTGCACGACATAATACACAAAATATTTATAGTGGAAAGAATAACTTTTTCCCAGAACCTTCAGGAAAAACAAGGAAGAAACTTGAAAACTGTGGAAGCGATATATTTGACAGTGAAGACCATCTCTTGCTTGCTTGTGCTTGTGTATATTCCCTGCATTTTGTGTGTGTAGTTTTCCTTAACACAGAACACAACCCATGTCTACTCCTTTATTTTTCCTCATCGTATCGTTTACATTTTGGATTCATTTTACTTATTTATTGTACGTTGGTTTGTTCGCTATTTTTGGGTCACTACAAAAGATTGAACTGTTAAATGAGCAAAATGCTATACACATACTATATAACCCCAACTAAAGAATAATAAAACAGTTATGTTATTTCCTAAAACCAGGTCAGATCCACATTGTGAGTGTCAGTCGGGCTGCTTTATATCACCTCTCCACATCTTAAGGTCTACTTGGTGTCAAACATCATACCTTGTCCTGTACATATCTGTAAGGGAATGTTTTGGAACAGTAAAACCTGGTTAGATAGAGTTTAAGGCTGACACCAGATGTCATTTCTAAGACTTTGATAGATAAGAGTTTTTAAAGGTAAGTTTAATATGTTTACACTCCAACCAGTGCCAAATTGTAGTATGGCATTTTCAAAATAAAAGCATACTTGAATCCAGTGAATTCAAGAATCGATTAATGTAAAAGTCTGAATTCAACTGAATGTGCGGACATCATCGGACAATCCAACTAATTAGTCATGTTGTTTACCTTTCCTTTTTGAGAGTAACATCATGTTAAACTGTCATCTGACCCTAACAACAGTGACGGACTCATCCATCCGGTTATAGACATCTTCAGTGGACTCTGACGCAGAGGTTGCTAAGAGAGTTAATATTTGTGTCGCTCGACTAACAGTCTGTGTAGCTGTACACTGCGATGACATCACTACTGTAAAGCTTGCTCTGATTGGTTCAGCTGTTTTTCACCAGGTTACAAAGAGCACACTATATCTATTTACATCCAGAGGGCAGGCTGACTCAGAGGCCTGGAGCCAGGCAGCTGACACATTACTGATGCTTTGTACAACATCTGTTACCTCGACATGCTAATAGAACGTATGACTACAAATGTATTAATATTTTAGTTTGGAAGATGTTTCCCAGCTGGTGATATCATTACATTATAAAACAAATTGCCAGTAGAATATATAGGCAAAATGCAAATGTGGAAATAAGCTAGGGATAATTACCTATTATTATAGGCCAGCCAGGGATGAACTGGGAACTAAATCAGACTGCTTCAAATGTATCTTTGCTTTGACAAAAAAATACATTTTGGATATTTTATTTCACCTCTCCTGTCTCTTCCTGTAAAATATTGAAATGTTTCAGAACCATCTTGGACTCAAGTTTGTGTACAAATCTATCATATTGACCGGAGGTATGTCAGAGCAGTGTTATAAGATGTGGTGCGTTGGAAATCAGTTGATAAAAACGTTTCCAAAGAATGAAGTTGACAGCTATTCATTTCTCCCTTGTTCTCATAAACAGAGCTGAGCAAGTGTGGGTGGAAACTCTGCAGCTTGATCTCTTTCTGTGCTCCATATCACCCTGTAGTCCAGATATATAACCACCATGGTTCCACAGTGTAATGAATATTACACTTACTAGAAACCTGTTCTGTGTAGATGTACATTTGAAGGAAACACTTTCAATTTTGAAATAAACGAGACATGGCATACCAGTGAGAAAGAGCTTGTAGCAATGTTATAAAATGAGCTCTACTGGTAAGGGAAATGAAGTGTGTGTACCCCAAACAAAAGCATAAAAACAAACATATGAGAGATGACTGCAGAGGAAACAGGCAAAGCTGTACTCACAACAAACTATGTCAATACATAATTTAACATGTAGTTTGAATCAGAAAGGAAAGGTAGCAGCCACTCATACTACGCTGCATAACAACTGTGTCTAAAGCCAACAGAAAGGAAACCACATGAAACCTGAAGAGAATCCCCCTGAATATATTCATGGTCGAATGAGAGAGTACACATCTGATACATATTCCATTTACTGTACGCAGCAGGAGGGGAGACACTCTATGACATGTATAAAATGACAAATGTTGTCTTTTCTTATTCCTGGCTATTAGAAACGTACCTGTTTCACATCATAGGCGAAGAGCACATATTTCAGATCAGGGGAGACGGAGTACTTTGCCACATTGAAATTAATCTAGTGGAAAATAGAGAAAAAGAAAACAGAGACTTACTGTGTGCAATGTCAATCACCGTTGAGACTAACACATCATCACTATTAGGATACGGTCAAATACTCAATACAATACAAACACATTCAAACACACCTACTGTAGTCATAGGTGCACACACTAAACATGACTTAACAGTTACATTTGAGCTTGACATTTGTATGATATCACTCAAATGCATTGTTTTGTTAAAGACAGTTTTTGTTTTCATCCTAACATCAACATGGTTGTAAGCTGCGGTTCCCCTCCTTCCCAAACAGAGCAACAGAATAGTGCTGCTTTAAACAGAGGCTCAATCAGTCCATACAGAAATACAAATTGGACCGTACCATCATTGTTTAGGAGTTTAGTGGTCAGAGATTAGTAGCATATGGTGACTCCTTTGATTCATTGAGTTAGAATATTTAAAAAATAACTTATTTACAAATACGTTTATTAATGTACTAATGTAACTTTGGAGTTAACGTCCATTTCATTTGTTTTATTCACCTTTGTTTCTCTCTTATTAAAAGCACTTAAACTTGTTTGCACCTCAAGTCATCCTATTTTTCTTTCAACCACACTTTTGGTAACAATCATGATTTTATATTGTGATAAAACCTCATAATGTAAGATAGAATATACAAACTAATCTACTTACAAATGTGGTGTTTGTCAGGACAATCTCAGATTCGTTCGTCAGGATGTTGAACTTGATGACGTGGCCATCACTGTTTCTGTAGATGACTTCTGAGTCTGTGAATAGAAACAAAGGGAACATAGAAAAACAACTTTTAAAATTGAATTTTGAAAGCTGTCCTTAGAAAGACAAAACCCCAAAGCCTGCAGCAGCCGAGTCTTTTAGAAGTGAAGACGCCACCGAACAAATGCTGTCTGAGCCTCATCGTTCCCTCAAATGAAATAACAGTCACAACACAGCTGACAGCCAAACATGCTCTACTTTGTGCAACTAACTGATTAACTGTGAGAATCAAAAGTGAGATTTCACTGCCAGACAAACACAAAGGGAAGGCCAGCGCTTTTATCTTCTAGGTAACACAGCGTGTTGATGTGAGGAGCTGTGTGGCGCCGCCAGGAGAAACATCTTGTGTTCTGAGCCGCATTGATTGAACTAGGCGGCTTTGTTTGTTTTGAGTCACAGCCAAACGTTCAGAAATGTAGCCTTAAATGTCACAGTATGGGGGATTGTCACCAACACAATGGCATGAAAAAACTCTGAACCTTAAAGCATGCAGAAGTACAAATACATGGGATCAAACAATTAATAAGCAAATGTGTCTTTCTCGTACTTATTAACTTTATTAATGCTCAATATGCTAAAACACAGATGAAAATGATCCATCAGTTTATCTTTTTTTAGGTTATTTGACATTTAAATGATTCATCTGATGACACTGTGGCCATGGACATTGGAGGCAGTTGAATTACCAACAACTGACAGTATTGTTTAGAGCACGAGGCACGAAGCTCTCCAGTTCAGCAGCTCCTTTCATTAACGCCCAGAAACGAGGGAATACGTATGGTAACCCTTGTTATATCTCTCACAGGCTCTGCCCTCTACTGGACTCTATGGGTACTACCCCTTGATCATATCATGCAAGCATTCATCCACTGAGACTTATATAACCGTAGCCGGCCCCGGGGCGGGCCTACCTGAATGCACGCGCATCCCACCGTATAAAAGGAGGCCTCGCCTCGTGACTGTCATCCAGCACATCTCTTCAGCAAGCAGCATAGGACAGACAGGGCCCCCGAGTAGAGGGCTTCGCCTGTGCTTATATAACAAGGGTTACCATACGTAACCCCTCGTTATATCTCTCACAGGCTGAGATGTATACACGCTCTGTCGTCCAACAACAACAACACTGTTCCATCTCACTGTCTCTGACCGGCTTTCTGGTTAGCAGCCGCTGCGCCTCACTCACCTCTCCCTCGGTCGTAACCGTGGAGAAGTCGGGGCTGCGGCTGACAGAGCACACTCTGACGCGCTTACCTCGCGAAAGTGTGCTCGGAAAACAGCACTCAGTTGTTCTCTTGCTTGCTTTAGAGAAAAGGATGACAGTCAGGAGGCGAGGCCTCCTTTTATACGGTGGGATGCACGTGCATTCAGGTAGGCCCGCCCCGGGGCCGGCTACGGTTATAGAAGTCTCAGTGGATGAATGCTTGCATGATATGATCAAGGGGTAGTACCCATAGAGTCCAGTAGAGGGCGGAGCCTGTGAGAGATATAACACACAATAATTAAGTGTCCCCTTATTGCCCTTTCACATGTTAGCATCATTCATCAGATTGGAAAATGTGCATTCACTTAATGGAAAATACTTTTATTCCCAATGCGATATTCATAATGATAAAAACATGGTCCATTTTTGGAATGCAGCTTCGCACACCTTTCCTTGTTTACTTATGTTTGTGCTTTAATGTAACTTTCTGTGAGTCTACATGGCTGTAATTTGTTATGTTGTTTGGAGACCAACAAAGACACCTTTCTGTTATTACGTGACGGACAACGTTGTTTGAATATTGTATGAAAGAGCCTTTTTTTCTCAGATTTGTAGATAAGTGAACAGACACACTACAGGAGAGGGAACACCCAAATAGGCATAATAGGGTTTCTTAATATATATATACGTTTATAAATGTCCACTTCTTCTAGAATTATGTTTATGACCGGATGATGATATTTTGGTGCAAAGAAACAAAGAAGCATGTTATGTTATTATTTCTTTCTTTGCCCTTCTGAGTAATGAATATCATCGCATCAGACAGGCAGAGTGTATGCATGTATTGTCGAGGGAGCACAGGCCAAAGGTTGCTCCAAATGAGGATTCTCAAAGACTGTGCCAAATGAGAATAGCTGGTCACTTCTTATAGCTAAACTTGGCACGGCACACAGACTCTACAGTTTGAGGGAACATTCAAAGACCCCGAGCAGTGATTCTGCATAGAGAGCTGATCCTCTTAGATCTTAGTGAAGTCAACAACACTAAAAGAGTGACAAAAAGATGTCCATCCTTATAAATCCAATATTCCTAAGGGTCACCTGGGACCCAATCACACTTGACATTTGGGGCGAGGCGGGGTACACTCCTGACAGACACCTGTCACTCACAGGGCACATAGACACACAACCATGGATGCTCCTAATCACACCTATAGGCGATTAACAGTGGCCAGTTTAGCTAACCTGGATGTGTTTGGACTGTGGTACCATGCTGTACCGATGCATCACTGTAATTACAAGTTCATACCTGGCTGGGCACGTTTTTAAAATATAATGGCACTTGGTGAGCAGACCTGCTCCATAATTCAATAGGTTCTTCCTTAGACCATGCTTCACTCTGCCACCAAGTTTCATGAAAATCTGAAGAGCAGAATGTCTGAAATCCTCCCAAAAAACATCAACAAACCAAACCGTAACGTAACTGCTTTGAAGGAGGTACATGATAAACGACAGGGCCATTTATTTCCTTTGGTTTATTCATAAGCCATCATGTTGATAGAGATGGGAGTTGGGAATAATGGGGCAAAACCTGTTCTCATTATTCACTAACCCTAACCCTAACCCAACCCTTATCCAATGCCACTGGGCCTCATGTAGTAATGAAAACGTTTAGGAGTGAACTTAGATGTTTAATCCCCAGCAGCTGCAGGCAGTGATGGCGCTCTGCACCCACAGGAAAACATTTCCAATGCAACACATTATGTTCCACCAAGTTTCCCCTGCTGCATTACCACCTTTAAAGTGGACCTATCATGCTATATTTGAACAATATAGTGTAGGACCATACCTATATAAGGCATATTTATACTTTTTTTTTTTCAAAATACCAAACAGATCATGCATTTTAGCCATGCCTCATTTCGCTCTATTTGACATTTTTTAGATCTGTTTTAGCAAGGGCAGATTCAACAGCACCACCTACAGGCCTGGCATATGTACTACAGCGTCTCCAGCGCTTTCGAACGGCAATGGCCGTGGCTGTCTCCTCCTGATTGGTGGAGTTGGCCCAATAGCCGTAGCGCCACCGTCCTGACGTCAGCACAGTGTTCAAATCTGGATCAGTTTTTATCAGATCCGTTGCAGCCCCTTTTTTAGAGATTTGGGTATGGAGGAAAATAGAGAGGGTTGTGTTTTCTGACACTTGGTGAGTTCCCTGGAACACCGGGGACACATATTCATGTATAAAAGACGTACACAAGTGCATTTTGCATGATAGGTCCCCTTTAACTTATATATATTTAAAAAAAAGTTAACCAGTGATATATTAAAAAAGGGGGGAAAAAACTCCCCTAAAATGGCTGTCCTGCAGTGTTTGTTAAGTTCTTTCTTCTTATGTCTGCCTGAACAGAAGGCTTCCACTCGAGGGGCGCCTGGACCGGAGGATTTGAAGGTTTGAATCCTTTGTACTGTTTATAACACAAAGGACAATAACACATTTAAGCCAGCACAGCCGTCATTAACATTGTCATGCCTAAAATGTAAATAAATCATTTCAGAAATGATCAGTAATCATATTTAAAAGTTATCTCTAATATATTTAAGAAATCATTTATATTTATATCTTTATCTTTTATCTATAGCTTATCTATAGTTTATCTATGCTTTATCTATAGAGCTTTAATGTATGTGCTGTGTTGCAATAGCTTAAAATATCCCATTTATGATGAAATAAACCACCCTCCAAACCTATGTGTCTTGATGAGGTCATTCCCGAAGTATTTAAATATTTGTCCTGTTAAGCCCAGTGGTGTTAAGCTCCAAATCAGTGCATGCCTTTGAGGGAGGAAAGAATATTTGGAGCTGATAAAAAGGAAGCGGTTCCTGTGATCTTTAATACATGAGCAAAGGTCTCCGCACTGCGCTGCACTTGTCTCCTTAAATAATGAAATGTTCGTAGCTGAAAAAGAACAAGCTAAGACTCTTATGTATAAGTAATGTCCTACGTCTGTAACCCGATGAATAATTAAATGCTGTGGCTTTATTCTGCCACGCTTAACTCTGCAGTTTAACATGCTGGATTTAGTAATGATCGCTGTACACGGCACATGCCACTACTGCAGCTTAGGGTCTCTTATTTGAAAACCCCTAAAAACTGCCAGCGTGTTTGAAGGCCGTGATTTTATTTCTACATTGCTAATATGACATCATTAAAAAGCACAGAAACTGAAAAAACTGCTAAAACTGAAAACGACTTATTTCAACTGAAATGTACACAGGTCCTTGAACAATTCATGTGTGACCAATGCCTCTCTCTCAAAAATAAACATGTGCACTAAACAGATCCTATCAAATATTCCGTTGAACCATGACTGAACTGCAAGTCTGCTTACAGAGAGAATAAGTTGCAAGAAAAGGTTGTGAAAATGTAAAAATAATATGTTTTAATAGCGGTTAGACTTGTTTGGAACACAGTGAAGAAACCTTTTTTTCTTTCAGTTCTCTCAGTTGAGTTGTATTGCAGTGAGAATGGGGGCTACAATGAGTCAAATGTGACAGGAACAGAAAGCGCTGTGAAACTGCTGGAGGTTGAGAGGGGGAGGAAACTCTCCTGATGCACTGAGAGGATCCTCACAGCAACATTTAATAAAAGCTGTCATTATGTTATCTTCATTCAGGTTGGTAAGAAATATGATATGAGAAAAAAGTGTTTGTGGAAGAGGCAGGAATTAGTCATGACCTCCTCTCAATACTCAGCGTGTGTGAAGTGTCCTTGTATAGAGATACATAACAA